ATTATCATTTGTTCTTACTGTACTTTATTCTTATTTGTACTGGTTAATTTGAAAAATTTATTATAATGCATATAGCGAAAAGCAATACATTATATATATATATATATATATAGATGTGCTTCTGGCTCCAGTTCTACAATAAATAGATACGAATGCAATAAGGTCATCATAACAAATAAATTTCCAATTAGTTTTGTTATGAACCTCATAGATGTTCATCATAATCAATTGTATGAAACATAGTTAAAAGAAAGAATATATTATTCAACTTCTTGCAACAGATTATAAACTGTATTTGACCAAATATGGGTAAATTGTTTTCGTTGTATGTTACAGCAACTCACATACCTTTTTTAAAAAGCGTTCCAAATATTCTGACCCATGAGCATATGGTTATTTTTTCGTTCATGTTTGGAGGTAGAGCATGACTGAATAAAAGAAGCGACATTCAAATCAACATATATTCTTCTTCATATAAGAGGGAAATTAATTGATATAAGAGGGAATCCTCTTGAAGTAGGAGGAAAACAGTTAGAATAATATCTAATAAATTTCAGGTGAATGTTTCACTTTAACCCTTTAACGCCTACTGGTAACTATAGTTACCAGAAACGCATTTAAGAATCCATAACTTAGTGAAAAAAGAAGATATTTTCGTTTTCTTTGCACCACTGCAAAGGTGAATTCTTCTAAAAAATGGTATATAGACTGCATGTAGATTCGGTTTAGTCTGTTTTTAGCTCAGTTTTAATGATAACATGTTTTGTCAAATTCCAAGTAGGCGTAGTTAGCATTGTTACTGACATCTAGAAGTGCACTATAAATGAATAGATTGGTATCTGCTAATAATTTCATATATTTGGAAGCTTTCTCAGATGCAAAATGTGAAATTAAAAGAATACCAATCCAATATGGTGGACACGAAAATCAAGAAATCAACCTATTTTCCTGGTGAAACCTGGTGACCTACAGTTTTTTATCCGGCGAAAAATGAAGGGATGATTGACTATCTAAATGGTGATCCATAAGATATTCTTCTGAAATAGTAAGCTTGACGCTCTGAATGATAAACTTCACTCACAAATATAGTAAAGTTTCAGCTGAAAAATGTCAAGCTGACTATCAGAATTATGTCGTATAGATTTCCCTTCATTTTTCTCTGTATAGGTTGCTCATTTCGTATATATGCTTTTAGGATCCAAGTCATATCTATTGGGTGAGTGCAAAAGTTCGTGCGGAGTTTGTGAGTAAAAGTCACACAGTGATTAGGCAAACAAAAATCTTTATTCAATCAATGATATATTCTCCATCGTTTTCTATAATCTTTTCCCAACGTTCTGGCAGCATACGGATGCCTCGATCATAAAAACTCGCGCAAAAAAGCGCGATTTAGATTCGAAGAACGAAGAGACGCCGTTTTTTAAGGCCTCCAAAGAGTCAAAGTTTTTTCCATTTAAATAATTTTGCAATGACCGGAACAAGTGATAGTCAGATGGTGCGATATCAGGAGAATACGGTGGATGCGTTAAGACATCCCATTTCAGGCTCTTCAGTTTGCGCGGCGTCTTTTTCGAAACGTGTGGTCTGGCGTTGTCGTGATGAAAGACGACTCCCTTGCGATTTGACAAAATCGGACGTTTCTCTTTTATTTCTCGATTCAGATTGGTTAATTGGCGACAGTACTTGTCCGAATCAATCGTTTCGCCAGCGGGGAGAAGCTCGAAATAGATTATGCCCTTGCAATCCCACCAAACAGAGAGCATCACCTTCATCGGGTGCAAACTGGCCTTTGGCATTGCGTCACCATGCTCACCTGATTGTTTCCATGTCCGTTTGCGCTGAACATTGTTGTAGAGGACCCATTTCTCATCGCCCGTCACTAGTCGATCCAAAAACGACTCGTTATTGAGCCGCCCGAGTAAAGAAACGGCTGCAGAAATTCGCTTGATTTTGTTCTTCTCGGTCAGCAAATGGGGCACCCATATATCGAGCTTCAAATCGAATCCCATCTTTTTTAAACCCCGAAAAGCGGTTGATCGGTCAACGTTTAGTGCTGTAGCAACTTCTTCTGTTGAAATTCGCGGATTATTGAGCACTAAAGTACGCGAAACATCGTCATCAATGTCAGAAGGTCGACCAGAGCGTGGCTCGTCTTCAAGGTTAAATTCTCCGCGCCGAAATTTAGCAAACCATTTTTCCACAGTTCGTTTAGCTGGTGCTTCATCCTGATAAACATCCTGAATGTTTTTTACGGCTGCGGCAACGTTTATTCCCTTCCGAAACTCGTAAAGCATAACATGCCGTAAATGCACCTTATCGATACTCATTTTTAAAGTGATATTTCTCGAAGCAGTTTGTATGAAAACAAATGATTTTTTTTTTAATAACAGCTGAAGACGTCACCTTTCCAACGTTATATAATATGTAGATGGAAGTATTAATGACAACACTTTACGACGCTTATAACTCCATCTATTGAAACTCCGCACGAACTTTTGCACTCACCCAATACCAATAAACAAAAAACGAACGATAAAAAAGGCCAATATAAAATTCTGATATTTTTTTTTTTTGGTTATCACTACTTATAGTCTCAGTTCAAAAAACTCAAATTTTATTCTTAAAGCACTTATAAAAAAGTCGGGCGTTAAAGCGGGCTGACATGATTTTATCGGATTTGCGGCGGAGACGCGCACAGACGTTTGCGTGAATATAACACAAGCGCATGAACTATTCAGCGATCACACAGAACGAAACTAACTAATGTGACTCGATCAACTATTCAGTGGCCCTGTCGAAAATAGAAGAGCATTAATCGCATCGCATAATTTCATAAGCGGGATAATGAATTATGCTCGACATTCGACAAACCGGTCAGCGGACAACGTTTCGTCGGCTAATTCGCCCGCACGCGAGGCACTGGGCGTGTGTCTTTTTCCTCCGCGTGCTGTTGACGGAATCTTTCATCAACCCGTCTGTCTACTGAATGGGTCGCTGAATGGCTCTTTCTTTCCCCCCCCTCTCTCTCTCTCTCTCTCTCTCTCGTTCGCTCTCGATCTCGCTTCCTCTAAATCAACGTCGAATGTGATGAAACGGCTGGCGAACACGCGATTCGCTTTCCCGATGCAAATGCGCGATGGAAACGCGCGCCCTCGGCCTCAGGAGTGCGACCGAAGAAAGCGTCGCGAGAGAGAGAGAGAGAGAGAGAGAGAGAGAGAGAGAGAGAAGAGGCAAGAGCCGAATGAAAACGGACGCCGGCAAGTCGGAGATTAAAATGGCGCGCGAGCTCGATTAGAGATTTCTCACGCGGGTGCGCGAAAAATACTTCCTCCGTCATGTAATCCGCGTTGATCGCATCGGTCCGGGCATCGGAAACGGAGAGTTCGCGACGAAATTGTATCGGTTTCCGCGAGCATCATCGTCTGGGACACCGCGAATGACGACGACGACGACGACGGCGGCAGCGACGAGAAGAGCGCGCGGGAGAAGCTTGCTTCGCGTCGCGAAACTTTTTCTTCGTCACATCGCGGGCCGAGCATTTGCGCGCGCGAGTCGAAAGCAAATCCGTGTTCCTACACTCTCCAATATGAAGAGATAGATAGTCCCGCAGTCCGAAACGGTAACTGTATATCGTTCTCGCGCGAAACGTAGATTACAGTCTCCCCTCTATTCTCCGAGCTACGATCGCGCGGCGATCCGTTTTTCCTCTCTCTCTCTCTCTCTCTCTCTCTTCCTTTTCATTTTCCAGCCGGTTCTCTCTGCTCGCTTTTCGCCGCCCTCTTTTTCGCCCTTTTCCGCTCGATTTTTCGGCGCGCAAAGTATTTTGCGAAATGCCGCCGCCGGCTCTCTCTCTCTCTCTCTCTCTCTCTCGGGCGCGCACGGCTCGAAACGGCCTGCAGGCCGAAGTAATAATCCCGGCGAGCGCGTAGCGCCCGGAGATGTGATTAATCGATGGACGAGAATTAGTTCGGTCGTCCGAAAGCCGCGGTTACCTTAGCATCGATCCTCGTCCAAGCGCGCAGCTCCAACAGCTTTCCGAGTTATTCGCGGCCGTTGAGAGCAAATTCGTGTTTTGGCTCGTTCGCCGCGCGTTTCCGAGTGCGACTCGCTGCCGTCGCGAATGGCCGCTGCACGAGCGGGATGCACGTCGAAGAGGAAGGACGATTCGTTTTCGTTAATGCAGTCTCGACCGTGCGCGCGCCGGCTGGTGTCTTGAAACCTTTGTCGGATCACTGTCTGCGCGGCCGCAGCCGGTACAGAGAGAGAGAGAGAGAGAGAGAGAGGAAGCGAGCCAGTATTGCCTCGCGGTGGAGGGTGCAGAGTGAGTGAAGCGGGGAACGGAGGGAGGTGGAAGGGCAAATTGATTTTTCACAACGCTGTGTCGCGGGACTCTCGTGCGAAAAAGGAATTGCCGAATCAATTTCCACGGCGCATCGCGCGTCCTGCATCGTCTTTCGCCATTCCGCGAGGATCGAAGTTTCAGCCGCAGAAATAAACTGAATTTATTTCGTCGGACTTGGTTAGATCGGCGCAATTAGTCTCGCGACCGGCGTCGCCGGCGCCGATCAGCCCTCCCCCCTTCCCCCCGAGCAGAAATCAAATACGGCAATTTTTTATACCTGATATGGCATGACTAGGCAAGCCATAAGAAGGCATTTCGAGTGGTCCTTATCCGGTCGGAATGTGGCAATTGTCTCGCAATATTTTCCGGATTATACCCCGACTGCAGCGAGGACGTCATTATTTGGATGCCTGATTTGGTCCTGATGGACGTTTGATCAGGTTTCTCGATTTCAGGCAATTTTATCAGGGTATTATGCATAGCAGTGCCGGATCCAATAAAGTTATCCGGGCCCTATTTGAAATTTGGGTGCCGGTTGGGGTTTTAATACGGCCGTGAGACGATCTTCTGCTCGGGCCGGTTTCGCTTTCTCCTTTCTCGCGAAGCTCTAAAGAGATCACCACTTCGCTCGCATGCATTAATCAAGCAACGAACTCACCACTCTGCTGTGCCGGCCTCCCGATGACGCTTCGCTTCCGGGCAACCGGAGACCTACTTCGTCCAGCAGCCGAGTATGTCCACCTAAAACAGAAGGGTGGTGAGAAAAGCGGTTAGAGGAGCGTGCGAGAGGAAATACCGGGCCGCGCGTTTGCTCTCGGAACGTACGAGTAACCTCGAAAACGGCTGCAGTTCCCGCGAGAGATCAGCCGGCCGGCGCAGCCGGAGGTCGCGTTTCCTGGCCAGTGCTCGGTTCCGGCAGTTTACGAGTGTCTCTCGTCTCCAATAAAAGGGCCGCGCGCGTACAAACACCTGGAAATGGAGTGGAAGAAGGAAGGAGAGGAAAGGACGGCCGAGAAGAGAGGAAGACAGAGTCTCGCTCCCCGAGACAAAGCTCGCCGTCCTTGTTTCTCCTCCTTCGCCCTTCTTTTCCACGAGACTCTCTCGCGCTTCTTGCCACCCGCAAGATTCTTATCCCTAGCTGAGCGTCGCGAAGATCGCCAAGCGAATTCCTGTCGGACGCCGAAATATCGTCGCCGCTCCTGCGTTGTCGCGAGATAGGATATGCGACGACGTCTACGTGGGAAGCAGTCGCACAGGACGACAGGTCGTCCTCGATCGCACCTACGCGATGAGCGCGCGATATTTAGGAAAAACTGCTCGCTAACCTAACCTAACCTAACCTGGCCGAGCGACAGCCTAAATGACGCCGCGTGTGTTTTCTCAAATATTTGCGCATCGATCACGCGTACGACGGCGAATTAACATTTCCGCGCCCGCCCCCTCGCGAGCCACTTCCCATATCTCCTGCTCCCGATGATCCTGCTCCTTCTTCATCTGCTCCTGACGTAGACTCTCGGAGCGCTCGCTCGCGCGCGCTCGACCGGGCTTCATTTTCCAAATGGACCGAACTCGCGGCTCGTTCGTCAGGAATGGCGCGCGAGAGAGAGAGAGGGGGGCGAAGGGTGAGCTGCCGGTGCGGTCGGCGGGAGAAAAAGGTAGGCAAAGAGAAGCGCGGATGGCCGAAAATAACAAATCCTCGCGGTGATTGAGTGTGATTAACCCTTAAAGGCTGCCGTGGGTGAAATTTCACCCTATGCGAATTTTTGGTTTTATAAAAAAAAGAAACACGTAACCACACTGACGATACTAATCTTATTCGAACTATCGGTAGTGATAAAATTATGATAAAAAACAGACCAGTCCTCGCATACATATTTTGCTATAAATAAGAAAAAATTAGTTTGGGCTGATACTTGACGGTAGCTTTTAAGAGTTAAATTTCACGCGGCTTCGATGTACGTTTGTTTGTCCGACGTGCGACGGCCATGGGGAGGGAGGGGGCGAAGATGTGGAAAATTAGTCGGAATCGCTCGGCGCTGCTCTCTTCATTTTAGTATCGCGGCAACGAGCGGAGACAGTAAAGGCCGTTAAAAAAAATAAAATAAGCATGGCGGCATTACGAGACGGTTTCCATGTTCCACTTATCTTTTTCTTTTTTCGGCGACGTCAAGAGCGTTGGAAACGATCGCGATCGCGAGTGGACTCGCGTAACGAACGGACAGTTCGCAAATATTGGCCCTTCGCGTCGCATCCTCATCGGGCAGATAAAACCGCGATGACCGCATTATTCTTGGCTTCCCTCCGCGACAATTGCGACGTTGACAAAAAATGTCTCGCCGCCTCGGCTTCCGTTACGAAGCGATAATCGCGCGCGAGTTAGCGAGCGGCGGAATCGCAATCGTCGCGCGCCGCTCGACGTGTTTCCGACTCCGTCGGAAAAAACGGCTGAAAACTCTTCCGCAAACGATCGCGAATGTTATGTATGCAGAAACGCGCGAGAGGAAACACAAACGCGCGGGAAGCGAACTTTCGTCCCTCTTGACTCGACACGTCGCTCTCCTCGACTTCTCGGGGCGAGGCGAGGCGAGGCGAGGCGAGTCGAGAGATCGCCGCGATGAAAGATAATGCGCGATAAAAATGTTTAATAACGCCCGGACGAAAATGAGACGCCGAGGCGGGAAGAGCTCGTCCGAGATGAGCCGCCCCGTGAGAGAGGCGCGTATATTTGGGTGGGGGCGGAGGGGGAGCGGGAGTCTCGTGCGTTATCTCCGTACGTAATTGCAAATTGAAATATGGAAACTAGGCGCGCGCGCGCGCAAAGCCGCCTATTCAATTCCGACTCAATGGCTTAAGAAGATAAAAGTGGGGATTATGGAATTTATCGCTTCACTCGCGGAGTACGTTCGGAAGCACTCAAACCGAAACCGCGGTAACTTTTAATGTCCCATCGGGCGTAAACGTAACTTTTTGGCCGAAAAGGATTTACGGCGGAATTTACGGCGGGGGACGCGTCCCGCGTCGCAAAGTGGGTTACTTCGTATTCGCCGGCGATCCCGCCGACTTTCCGAGTAAAAACCTCGCCGGACGCGCGAATATCCGCGAATGACGCGCGACGCCGCCGCAGTCGTCGAATCGTTAAGGAACGGAGACGCGACGGGAGATTTTCGGGAGCATAATTGCGAAGCGCGATAATGCGCACAGCCTCGAGTGCTGAGACGGGGCGAGGGGGAGAAAGGGAGAGAAGTGTTCTCGCGGGCGAACTTTGGCGAATCGAACGGGGGGGGGAGGGGGGAGAAGACGGCGTTAACGATTTCCATACGAGACCAATTAAAAAGTTGAAGCCGTCGCTCGCCGATTATCGCGAAACAAAGTGAAAAGCGATAACGAGAGAGAGAGAGAGAGAGAGAGAGAGAGAGAGGAAGAGGAGAAAGAGAAAATTGTCGAATCGCCGCACATCCACCGTTATCTCGCTCACTCGAGCGCGCTGTCCTTCAAAGCGTGACAGATGCGTCTAAGAAGAAATATACATCTCCTTGCTCCCTGCCACCCCCCTTCCCCACCTCCGTGCTGCGTCAAGGATCTTTCGCAAGAGCAAACGGAAAAGTCACGTCCGGAAGAGGCTCGTCTCGTTAATGTCGTGCCTTATTAATCGGCCGCGGTCATTATTTCCCGAGACAATGCGCGCGCACCGTCTCGCACTAATTGACATATCACAGCCCGGTGGATTGTTCGAATTACGGCGGGCCGAGTTTTTCGCACGCGTGTGTACACGATGGGGAAAGTCGGAGGAGAGCGAGAGCGAGAGAGGGAGGGGGTTGTAGAAGGAGGTCCAAGAGGAGCGGGAAAAAGCCGCGGCGGAGGGAAAGCAAGGCAAGCCCTAGGACTTAATTAGTCAAAGCCCTTGCCAGCTTACTGGCAAGTGCCTCATTAGGGTCGATGTCGCGTCTCGTAATTGGAACGCGCGTCGCGACTAATTACGCGCGGGCTACGGGCCGGGTGGAGGCAGGAGGGGCAGAGCGAGGCTAAAGGCGCGCGCGAGCGAGCGAGCGAGCGAGACACGGAAGAGACGAAATTTAAAGAATGCCTTCCACCGACGTTCTCGCGGGATCGCCGTATTTCCGCTGCGACGCGACTCGCCGATTGACGATTACGACGCGCGCGATGATACTCATAACTGTTGCATTATATACGATCTGTATAGCGCGGGAAAATATTGTATAAAGCGCGAGGGAGAGTTATGAACCTCACACGCGCGCAGGGAGGGAGGCAAGAGGCAAGAGGGTCGCCGCGACATTTGTATTCAACGTGTAGTTGCGCGAACAGAGTGTTTCGCTACGAAATGAGGACACAAGTAATATTGTACTTGCTATTCCACGCAGTCGCCAAACTTTTCAACTATGCCGTCTCGCTCGCATAAGGTATTAGCCGAGTAGAAAAATTAATAGGGCTCTAGTAAGGGCCTGATTATTTTTCCCTAATATTAATCGGGCCCTAGTAGGGATAGAAAGTAGAGGGCCGTGCAAGATGTGTAACAAATGTTTTAACGGAGCCTTGTAAAAGGCATTATTAACTGGGTCTTACAAGGCAATATTTTAATAGGGTCTTGTAAGGAAATACTTTTATTATTGCTCGATTAAAGAGATATTCCTTCTTTTCACTCCACGAAATTTAGAGTGCAATTTCTTTATTTTTGTACAACCTTGTTAGTAGTATACAACACAAATTTTTTATTCTAAAGATATAGCATACTTTACGATAAAATATAACATTCTTTACGTATAAAAATCCTGCTGCAGTTTTTATTAAAGTTTGCTGCATTTCAAAACAAAGACAATACTAGAAAAATCCTTGGAAGAGACTAATGAATGTGGCAACTAATAAAACTAATAAGATTTGATTTTAATTGCGGTATAATTAAAAAATCTTTAAAAGAATCAGATAGAGAGCGTACCTACTGAAACAATACAAAACTATGACAATATTTTATTACACGCTTCAGATCTTATTAATTTTCGATAACAAAATTTCATTTTGTATATCTAAAGCATCCTCTTGAAAGATTTTTCCAAGACCTTCATTAGCTTTCCTTATCAAAGCCTTATTTCTTAGAATCTAACGGCTATCCTTAACAGATCCGTTTCGAGGCCTGATGTGATAATAATGAGGCATCTCCCTCTTCAGGGCATCCTACTTTCAGCCTCATCGGGGGGCCTTATGCTTCATGAGGATGGCTGACAATTTTTTGCTCGGGTAGCCGCCGGGTCTCTCGCTCAGTGCGACGCGCGCGCTTGACAAACAAATCGCCAATAGCGAGTGCCGATGTCGCAGTCTCGCCCTCCCCCCCCCTCCCTCCCACCGCCGGCAAACGCGCGATCAGAGCGCGCGGTTCTTTCCCACGCGTGTACGAACGTCGACGACTTGTCGTGAGGAATTCTCTGCGTGCGCGGCACTTGATTAATTACACGTCTCGCCTTTCGTTCTCCTCTTCCTCTTCGACGGCGGTTAGGGGCTTCCCGGGGTGGGCAGGGGGTGGCGGGCTGCAATTTGTCAAAGCGCGCGCCGTCCGCGCAAATCCCGCTCGTTATTGACCTTCGGCGCCTTCGTCGTCGAGGAACCCATCTTCGCGTGCCGTAAAATTGCCTCTTTGACATGGATATCCCACGCGAGGCCATCGTTACCCTCGTTTGGCGAGTCTTTAATTATTCGCGCGCCGAATGGCTTTTTAAGGACGTTAACGCGCTCCGGCGGAACCCCCTTCCCCCCTCGGTCACGAAGAGAGCCCACATCCGTCTCGATTTTCCGCGACGAGCGCGAAAATGCGATTGGGTCTTAAGTTTCGCAGACGCGACGCCGCCGACGAACGCGCGCGCGTAAGCACGTCCGAGTAATTTACGTGAAATGCGAGCGAATAAGCGACGACGTCGTATGCTCTATAGATTTCTGTAGACGATGGAATATAGACGGAAATAAAAGAGGAGAGAGAGAGAGAGAGAGAGAGAGAGAGAGAGAAGCGAAGTTTGCAGGTAGTTCGTATATGTACATACGCAGAGAGAACTCTACGTGTAAATATAGTTACAGCGTCCCGCTGCAACTACCGCCATTCTTTCCATGGAGAAATTCTTTGACCAAGTTGGAATCGATCGCCCCTCGATAAAAGGTACCGAGGCATCAGTGTAGTTTCCGAGTTAGACAAGATTGTGGATAAAACGAGCGCACGAGTGAATAAAACGAAATTCAAGTCGGCGCTTCTCGGCGTCGATGCAATTTTAACGTCGTCCTAATTTAAAGCCGAGTCGCCGTCGAGATGACCGATGTTGGAAGTGTGCAAAAATTCACAAGCAGATGACGCACGACACGGTGCCTCTCTTCAATTACAGCTCGACTATAAGCGGTCGCGCATTCTCTCTCTCTCTCTCTCTCTCTCTCTTTCTTTCTCTCACTCTCTCGCTCTCCCCCTCTCTTCCTCTCGATCAATTCTCGATCAATTCTAGATCAGCCGCGCGATTTATCGCGCAAGCGAACAGCGGCCGATTACCGTGATATATAGAGGGCCGTAAAACTCTGATTACTCAATTTATCTACATTCGCTATTTCTCGATACTCCAGACCAGAAGTCGAGTGTGTACTCGACTTCTCGAATATCGCGTCATCATCGAGGACGCATCTATTAAAAAAAAAAAAAAAAAAAAAAAAAAAAAAAAATACACGAGCGCGCAGAGACAAAAAAACGAGAGCGTGAAGGGGTTAGAGAGGGAGAGGAGAGGAAACGCGCGCGCGCACGCGAGAGAATAAAACACGAGGCGCAATTAGACGACGTTAAGATACCGCGCGCGATACACATTTACGTAATTGAATTT